AGCTTGTCCTTGTAGAGGGGGACCACCCACCACAAGAAGGGACATCTCCAAGGACCCTGTCACACTCTCTCATACTCACCACAAAATGGTTTAGAGAAACTAATGCCAGTGGCTGTGGCTGAGGGAGGGGATTGAGGAAAAGGAAGGAGAGACTTTTCAACTTTGAATACTCCTCTTTATTGCTTTTATCATTGTTGTCCATTTTATTTTTTTACTAAAACCATACTGATCTTTAATTTTTTAAATCCTCACTTGAGGATATTTTTTCCATTGCTTTTCAGAGTGGAAGGGGGAGAGAGAGAGAGACATCGATGTGAGAGAGACACATCAATTGGTGGCCTCCCGCACGCCCCCGACTGGGGCCAGGGATCAAGCCTGCAACTGAGGTCCTTGACTGGAATTGAACCCAAGACCCTTCAGTCCACAGGCTGACGCTCTAACCACTGAGCCAAACCAGCTAGGGCAAACAGTATTGCCAAATGGTTAAAGCATATTTTCTTTCTATATTTTATTTTATTTTTTTAAATATGTCTTTATTGATTTCAGAGAGAGGAAAGGAGAGGGAGAGAGAGAGATAGAAACATCAATGATGAGAGAGTCATTGATTGAGCCCACAACCCGGGCATGTGCCCTGACCGGGAATCGAACCCTGATCGCCTGGATCCTAGGCCAACGCTCAACCGCTGGGCCACGCCTGGCCAGACTAAAGTATATTTTCTTTAAAACCATGGTTTTGCACCCTGGCCGGTTTGGCTCAGTGGTTAGAGCGTCGGCCCGCGCACTGAAGGGGCCCAGGGTTGATTCCAGCCACGGGCACGAACCTCGGCTGCAGGCTCGATCCCCGGCCCTGGTTGGTGGGCGAGCAGGAGGCAACCAATCGATGTTTCTCTCTCACATTGATGTCTCTGTCTCTCTGTCTCTGTCTCTCTCACCCTTCCACTCTCTCTGAAAAGCATTGGACAAATATCCTTGAGTGAGGATTTAAAAAAAATTTAAAAATCAATAAAAATAAAACCATGGTTTTGCAATGCCACAAATTATTGGCCTTCCTCTGTGGAGCTGGTGTCCAGCCTCTTGGATGCGTAAATTGTTTCCATTTTACCTGCAAGTAAAGGCACCTACCCCACAGAGCCTCAATTTATCTGATACATTTCTGTTGGTTGGATCCCATCCTCCTCTCTGGGACCCAAACTTATGTTGGGACCCATCACATCACAATGGGAAACAGGCAAAGGTAAAAAAGGATGGGAGGAGGGTGACATTAGCCCAGGCATCTGACTTTTGGGAAACTCCTAAATTGTAGTGGCTTAGAATTTAGCCACTTAGAATTTGTGGCTAAGAAGTTTTGGACGGAACACGAGTCAGGGATGGCCCCTGAGAAGGGTGAGTCAAGAACCTGAGCTGCTCAGGGAAACCAGGGGAACAAGAGGGTCCAGCCTTCACCTAAGAAACTCACGGTGACACGGGTCCCTGTGAAAATCAGATGCCGTTTTCAGAATTTCTCCTTCTCCTCCTCCCTTCTTTCAATAATAACAAAAAATTTTTTTAGTAATAGGTAAGAGGAAGGGAAAGTTCTTCCTTATAGCAGAATGCCAGCTAAAACAAGTAGTGAAGAATAATTGAAATAGAAATTTCCATTATACAACCACCAGTATAAAGCTGACACCAACAGGGATCATCAACTAATGCTAACATCTTTAGAAGGTCCTTGGAGTACAGGATATTTACACACTCTCAAAGTACACTCCATGAATTACTTAATAACTATAAAGGAAACATGTATATTTACAGTGGAGAGATCTGGTAGACACCTCCTTCATCAAGTGACCAATCCTAGTATTGCAGTAATGGTGATGGACAAACTAGACATTCTTTGCCTCCCCGTGAGATGTGCTAGGAAGACCACAGCATTAAATATGTGGTATTCTTGCCCACAATGCTTAGCCTGAATTTAATCATGAGCAAAATTATCAGACAATTTTAGAATATAGGCCACTGAACAAGACAACTGACCTGTCCTTTAAAGAAAAAAGTCAATGTTACTACCATCAACAACAACAAAAGGTGAGGAGGCACTTTTGGTCCAAAAGAACTAAAGTTAGTCCTGTCCTTTTGAGCCAAAAACGATGAGACTTCTTAAGTCCAGTCTTATTGGATCTAAAGGGCCTTCACCCTCTTTGGAGAAAGGAAAAGGTGCTCTAGAGCCACTTCACCTCTCCATAGAGGCATCCTACTGATGATGGGAAACGGCAAGAGAGCTAATGGTTGGCCAGTGTGCAACAGCAGTGGAAGTCAAGATCACTTACATTCGAATAAATGGACTGACTACCCCACTCAGAGCCATATTGAGAACCTTCTGCATGCCAGCACTTGGGGCAGGGGCAGGGAGTGGAGAAAAGTTTACATTCTGGAGAGATTGGTGGTCATAATGTCCATTTATGAGCCCAGGTATATGCCATTCTCACACTAGCTTTCAAGAAAAGAAGAAGGTAACATTTTAGTGTCCTGTGGCTGCTATAACAAAATACCACCAACCGGGTAGCTTAAACCACAGAAATTTATTCTCTTGCCGTTCTGGAGGCTAGAAGTCCGAAATCAAGGTCTTGGCAGCACTGGTTCCTTCTGAGGGCCATGAGGGAGGGACATGTTCCAGGCCTCTCTCCTTAACTTGTAGATGTCTTTCTTCTCCCTGTGTCTCTTCACATGGTGTTCTCCTTGTGTTTGTGTCTATGTCCAAATTTTCCCACTCCAGTGGCCTACCCCACTCCAGTATGACCTCATCTTAACTAATTACATCTGCAAAAACCCTGTTTCCAAATAAGATCACATTCTCAGGTACTGGGATTAGAAATTTAAGATATGAATTTTAGAGGGAACACAATTTAACCCGTAACAACAGGTTTTAGGGCATTTTCTAAGAGCCAGTCCCTTCCACCTTTAGTCTGTTGTGGAAGGTTCTGGTCCATTTTGCCTCCTGCTCTGGAATGCAGGCCTCTAAAAGGCCAAGAAAGCCTGCTTCTTATCCACTTCCAGGAAGTAGGCTTCTGGGGATTCCCTGGGTACACAAATTCACCTTATTGCAGAGACCCCTATACCTCCCTGTCCTGTTCCCAGAAACAAACTGAAATCCAGAAGCAGAGAGTCAGGTACCAGTTGGAGCAGTTGTGCCGGTTTCTGGAGCAGCAAGAGAGGCTCTTTGTGGCCTGGCTGGAGAAGCTGGGCCAGACCATTGGCCAGGTCAGGGAGACATATGACACCCAAGTGTCCAGGGACGTTGCCCTTCTCAACAAGCTGATTGAGGAGCTGGAGGCCAAGCAGTGCCAGCAAGAATGGGAGCTTATGCAGGTGAGTGTAGCTGAACCTGGCCTTGCCCTGCCCACTGTACCCAGTAAGATGACATGGGCTCCTAGCATGGACATCAGCTCTGCCCAAGCCAGTGGGTGAGGTCCTTGGGGCCAAGGGTGGGACTTGGTCTTGGTGACCCACAATACCTCTTGTGCCCAGATCCCTTTGGTGACCTCTAAGGAGCCCAAAGTGGTCCAGAATCCAGGGGATCTCTAGGCATCTCCCAGAAGAGGTCAGCAGGGCTTGGGTGCAGTTCTATTGCAGGCCACAGCTGGGCTGCCACCTCGGGGAGTCAGAATTAGAATTGGGAGAGAGGCCCCAGTTTTGCTGATGCCCTGGGAACCAGAAAGAGAGGCCAGTAGTTAGTGCAGCCCCTGGGAGATTAGTAATGGAGAGCTTCCCTCTTTTCTCTCCTAGGACATCGGAGTCACCCTGCACAGGTAACCAACCGAGAGGTCCCCTGGTGATCCCTTGGGTGTCCTGCAGGAAGCATTTGGGGAGGCAGTTCTAGAAGGGAGACATTCCCAACCCTGGGTCTGGGACTCCTCCCCGAGCTCCTCCCATTTCCTGCAGCTACCTAAGGCCTTTCTGGATTTGTGTAAGGAGAAAAAGAGTGTGATCAGGAGGGAGAACATGGGGTTGAAGACTGGAAAGAATGAACACAGCCTGCCATTGATGGTGGCTTCCTAAGAAACCTCCCTAGTAGACTGTCCTGAGCAGTTCACCTCATGAGAACTGTCTGCAGGGAGGGCAGCGCCGTCCAGGAGCCCAGCAGGCAGGGAGGGCAGGCTGGACGCTACGGTCATCCCTGCAGCTTTACAGAATCCTGCCGTCCAGGCCCTGGCAGATGAACTAAAGCTGAAATAACATAAAATTTACCGTTTTCACATTTTCAAATGTACGTTAGGTAATATTAAGTACATTCACATTGTTATGCGGCCATCCCCACCCTCCATCTCCAGAACTTTTTCATCTTCCCAAAGGGAAACTTCATCCCATTAAACAGCTCTCATCTCCCCCAACCCCAGCGCCTAGTAACCCCCTCTACATTCTCTTTGTGAATTTGACTACACTACCTACCTCATAGAAGTGGAATCATAAAATATTTGAACTTCTGTGTTTAGCTTATTTCATTTAGCATAGTGTCTATACGCTGTAGGAGCACGTGTCAGAATTTCATTCCTTTTTTAAGGCTGAATAATACCCCACGGTATATATATACCAAATTTTGTTTATTCATTCTCCCACCAATGGACACTTGTATTGCTTCCACCTTTTAGATATTGTGAATAATGCTATTAATATTGGTAGAGATATGTCTGTTTGATTCTCTGCTTTCAACTCTTCTGGGTATATACCCAGAAGTAGAGTTTCTCTATCCTGTGGTAATTCTATGTTTAGTTTTTTTGAGGAACCACCACATTTCCCACAGTTTCTGCACCATTTCACATTCCCACCAGCAATGCACAAGCGTTCAAATCTCTCTACGTCCTTACCAACACTTGTTTTTTCTTTTTAAAAAAATGTTTATTTATTGATTTCAGAGAGAGGAAGGGAGAGAGAGTGAAACATTGATTTGCTGCCCCACTTATTTATGCCTTCATTGGTTGATTCTTGTGTGCCCTGACCGGGGATCAAATCTGCAACCTTGGCGCATCGGGATGATGCCCTAACCAACTGAGCTACTACTGGCCAGGGCTATTTTTTCTTAACAACAGCCATCTTAATAGGTGTGAAGTAGTGTCTCATTGTGTTTTTCCCCTCATCTATTATCATTTTATTTCAGTAGAAAGAAAATGACTCAGGAAGTGTAATTAATTTGACATAGATCATTCTGGGCTGAGCATTTCAATATCAGAAGCATTTTAAGGCCATTATTAAAACTCATTGTGGGTTTAACATCAGTGCTTTTAAAAGCTCCCCAGGTGATGCAAATCCATGGGCAAAGTTGAGAACCAGTGTGTTGAACTTGAAGTCCAGGGAGGACTTTCTTTACAAAGCCCAGGTTGAGCGGGGTGTGCCCTGTAGAGGCTGCACCTCCCTTCCACTTTATGGGAGCTTGGGCCTCTCCATGCTCCAGCCCTCTCTGGACAACAGTCTTTTGTCTCCAGAGCCAAGACAGTGACTGTCCCTGAGCCATGGACCACCCCTCTAGAGGTGAAAGAAAAGATCCACCTGCTCCACCAGAAATCAGAGTTTGTGGAGAAGAGCATGAAGCATTTCTCAGGTAGGTGGGCTTGGGGAAAGACAGGAGGTGCCCACTCGCTTCCTCCCAGAGATCCATGTAGTCCAGAGCCCCCAGGCATCCCTTCTCCATCTCTCATGGTCTTCTGACTCTGCCTTCAGCCCCCCCAAACTGTCCCTAGCTGGGGAACTAACTCTAGCTCTCTTTCTCCTTTAGAAACCCTGCGTTCAGAAATGGAAACTTTCAATGGTAAGTATGGTGGTGGTAATATGTGCTGAGCAGGAGTTATTGTGATACTCCCTTACGCTACTGATTTCTGGGCATTATTTAGAAGAGAGAAAAACATCTGTAACAAAGGAAAGAGAAAGGTGATGACAGGTCCTCACAGGCTATGTGTAAGACTCCTTTAGCTGGGTCAGCTCACCAGACCAGAGAGGTCCAGGTGCCTGGGAGGAATGGGGTTATATCCAAGCAGAGGAATCAGGGCCCTGAGCATAGGGGTTCTTGTCTTTCCTTGTTGTGGGGATCAAGGTAGATTTAGCCCTCTGAGTGGGAATGCACAGGATTTTTTCTCCTTTTTCTTTGTAGTTCCAGAACTGATTGATGCTCAGGCACATGCTGGTAAGTGCCCAGATCAAAGTGAGTGCCTTGGCCTGATGGGTCCCTGTGCTGCCCCGGTTCCAGAAGAATGGCCCTGTCCATGCTTCCTGGAGGTGGGGAGAACCTACGGGGATGTTGCCCATTGACTCCAGCTAGGTATTCTAATTCTCTCTGCAGTTAATGTGTTTCTGGATGCAGAAACTGCCCACCCCAACCTTATAGTCTCTGATGACCTGAAGAGTGCTCGACTTGGAAACAAGTGGAATCGTATGCCTGACAGTCCGGAAAGATTTGATAGCTGCATCTTTGCCCTGGGCTCTCCAAGCTTCCTCTCTGGCCGCCATTACTGGGAAGTGGAGGTGGGCGACAAGACAGGGTGGGTCCTGGGCATCTGCAAGGCATCCACAAGCAGAAAGGGGAACATGGCTCTGTCACCAGAAAATGGCTACTGGGTGGTGATGATGATGAAGCGAAATGAGTACCAGGCATCCACATTTCCCCCAACCCGCCTGCGGATGAGGGAGCCCCCAAGGCGTGTGGGCATCTTCCTGGACTATGAGGCTGGGGACATTTCCTTTTACAATGTGACAGCCAAATCGCACATCTACACATTCACCAGCTTCTCCTCCTCTGGGCCCCTTCAACCTGTCTTCAGCCCTGGGACACATGATGGAGGGAAGAACATGGATCCTCTCATCATCTGTCCAGTGGGTGACAAGGGGCCTCACTGAAAGCCCTGCATTTTGCATCTCTCTTCCAACTCCCAGCCTTGTATCTTGAATTCATACATTTGACAGTAATTATTGAACATATCCTGGGTTCTGGGTACACTGGGAAATAAATCAGAGAATAGTCCCTGTGCCCCAGGAGCTTATGGAATAGTAGAAACTAGCTAGGTACCCAAATAATGGCAAACCAAGGGCACAGAGAACATCTTTTCACGGAAAGATGTAGTGATGACATGCCATGTTTTTTCAGAGTACGAAGTACATGGCTATTGCTCAATAAACCCTTGTGTGGATCAGCACCCTAAGATGTTCCTGAGACAGAGATCCCACCCTCATTTTCCCTCAGTACCCATTACAAGGATGTATCCCCTCATTTTATTCTCTCCTGTCTTGAGGACTTGGAAATTCTAGGGGGAAAAACAAGCAGAGTGGATTGCTATAAAAAACTTTTGTACCTGGTACAGCTCCTTTGACTATTGTAGAATCTAGATACTGAACTTTTTTTATAGTACATTCTTCATAAATATTTTATATATTAAACATTTATATCTGTAAGATAAAATTTTCCCTGTCTGTTGTTTTTTTAAATATAATTCACATACCATAAAATTCATCCTTTTAAAGTATATAGGACTTCCGGTCAAGATTGTTGGAATAGGTAAATGCTGTGCTTGCCTTCTCCCATAAAAATTACAACTAAATTATAGAACCACCCTTGAGAACCATCTGAAGACTAGCTGGATGGAACTCCTACAACTGAAGATATAAATAAGAAGCTGCACAAATACTAGTAGGAGAAACAAAGATGTGAAACAGGCTGGCCCCACACCCACGTGTGCTGGTTAAGAACTGGGAGGGAATCTCAGTGTGGAGGTCCTCCCTGAGGAGCCAGGGCCCCAGCCCTACACCTGGCGCCCCAACCCATACCACCAGTGCCAGGAAAAGGATTTTCCAAAACATCTTTCTGTGAAAATCAGTGGGGATTCTGTCTGGATGACATGGAGGGCTGCTGCTGTCCCAGGTGTTCCTCTTTAAGGGCCTGTGCATGAACTTACTTGCTGATGTACTCACTCCCTCTGACTCCAGCTCAGGGGCATCAACTCAAAAAGTGCCAGGGAGAGATAGGACGAAACTGAATTGTCTGGCTTCAGGAGGAGGGCTGGAGGAGCAGCTCTCTCTGGGACTAAACTACTGGCAAGCACCATTGTCCCTTTGTTGAGCCCTCCCCCAACACAGTCAGCAGACACAGGCTGGTACCAAATCTGAGTCTCCATCAAACTCACTTCACACTGGTGATTTCCTGAAACCCACCGTACTCAACTCACACACCAACCCAAACCTCTTTCAGTCTCAGCCCATGCTGCAGACTTTCCTAAAATCTCTAAAAGATCCACAATCCCCAACAAGCAGCAGCTAGCCTCAGCATGCCCTCCACCTCTTGCTAAACCGCCCCAGGGCTAGTGGCAGTAGGCCTTGGAGACCTTGGTTTGCACCATAGCCTCTTCCAGGCACCTCCAAGTCCAGCACAGACAGCTATCAAACAGATAACTTTGCAGTTCCCACCATTTATCCCCAGACCAGGCACAGGTAGCGGCTGACCTGGGCCTGCACTGGAGTGCCTCCCAGAAGGCCCCAGAGCCAACACACCTAGTGGCTGGCTTCAGAACACACCAGAGCACCACCCAGTTAGCCCCATAAATGACACACCCAAACTCGGCAGGCGCCAGAGCCCCAGTGCAGTGAATAACACTGCAGGGCGTCAGCCCCTGCACTCTAGCTTGTCCGCTATAGTTACTGCCAGTCAGCCTGAGGGCCAGTCCCACCCACTGACACGCCAACAGCAATCAAAGCTTAACTACAACAGGAGAGCACACAAAACCAACACCAGGGACACCCCTGGAGCACCCAGCTCAGGTGAGCAGGCAGTCTGCACCACTGGGCTCCACAGGACACCTACTAGATAAGGCCACCCTGCCAACACCGGGAAACATAGATCTACCTAATACATAGAAATAAATACAGGGAGGCAAACAAAAGGAGAAGACTGCCAAACTGTTTTCAACGTGGCTAAGCAGCTTTTCAACTGTTAATGACCAGTTAGTTTTCCTCCTCTGTGGAGGGACTTTATAGCCTTTGCCTTCATCTTCTATCAGTTTGTATGTTGTGAATGTCTAATTCTTTATCTGGCTTTTTACAATTATTTCCTAGTCTACTTCTTTTTTCTGTTTTTATTATAGAACTTTGTTTATTCTAAGCTTGTCTCCATATTTTTATCACAAAATAATTTTATCTTGTGTTGAACTTTCAAATTTTACAATAGGATTCACACTGTCAGCTGCTTTACTTTTGCAAAATGAACTAAACACTTCTCTTTGATTCCAACAATTGAATAAAAATTTTTGAATGATTAATATTGTTTTTGAAGTTTTTAAAAGCTGTATCGTACACTGGTTTATATTTTATTTTAAGGCATCGCAGTTTCCTGTTTTGCTTCAACATTAAACTTAATGTTCTTTTAAGTGTTCTTTTATTGACTCCGTTCCATTTTTTTACCCTGGCTAGTGTGGCTCTGTGGTTAGAGCAACCCCAGAGCACGAAAGGGTCTCAGATTCCATTCCCAGTCAATGGCAGGTACCTGGGTTGCAGGTTGGATCCCCACCCCTATTCCTCCACCCCCCTCAGGGTATGTCTTGGAGGCAACCAATCATGTCTCTCTCAAATGATATTTCTCTCTCTCTCTTCCTCTCCCTCACTCCCTTCCACTCTCTCTAAAAATCAATGGAAAAAATATCCTCAGGTGAGGATTAACAACAAAATTCCATTTCTTGTATGTAGTATAGGGACAGTTTTTGCTTGCACCATCTATTTTATACTAAGTTGAAATGCTGCCCTTTCATATAGGTTTCCATACATTCTGATCAATTTTGGTACTTAATATTCTTCTCTACTGTTCTATTTATTTACTCTTAGTTCAAACTATACTGCTTTGATTAAAGGAGGGTTTTTTGTTGTTGCTGTTGGGTTTTTTGTTTTGTTTTCAGTAATTCTGATGTCTGGAAAAGCGGGTATTCTTTATCTAAAAAAAAACACACACAAAAGTTTGGTGCCACAGTTTTGACACTAGTCTCTCTCTAACTTAATTTTAAACCCTGGCTAAGTGAGTCTCCTATAGTTAGGATTAAGAAAAGGCATTCGTTTATATTCTTACTTTCGTCATCCTGCTGTTGGCCGTTACACAGAGGAATGACGCCTAGGGCCCTACCCGGTTGGCTCAGTGGTTGGGGCGGAGGGAAACCTGTGGACTGAAGCAGCCGGGGTTTGATTCCAGCCAAGGGCACGAAGCTCCGTTGCAGGCTCGCCCAGGTCAGGCCCCGTAAAGGAAGGCAGCCAGTCGGTGTTTCTCTCTCCCTCCCTCCCCCTAAGCAAACGAAAAAATGTCCTCGGGTGAGGACTGGGGAAAGCAAAAAAACACACAAAACAATCCCTAGGGTTATCCCAACTCTGATCAGTGTATGGGAACAACGCAAAGAGAAAGGACGCTGTTGGGCGTCCGTGAGGAACTGAAATTGAGGACACAAACGGCGATGGTCCGAGAACGAGGGTTTCTTAGAAAGTAAGATGGTCAGGACAGTGTTGAAGTTGGCAAGCGGGGGAAAGGAGGGTCGCCAGGCTCTGACCTACTGGCTGCCCGTGACGCAAGGAACAGTTGTAAAATGACCCTGTATCTCGCAGAAACCCTGAACCACTACCCACTTTCCACCCCCGTACTCCTTTGATCCACCACGGATACTGCGGCGGCGTGGAGTAAACCTTCCGGTTCCAGACACAACCCGCTTCCGGTCGAGCCTCGGCTCTGCCCTGCCCCTCCCGTCGCGCCTGGCGGCCTCCCATTGGCTGATTGGAGCTGAACTACATTTCCCAGTAGCCCTAGAGTTAGTCGGTACCAGGAGAGGGTGCTAGCCGGTCATGGAGGGCTGGAGTCAGCCTTTTGCCTTCCATCTTCCCGGTAGAGTCACAGAGAGAGCGGCTGCCTCCAGCCCAGCTCTCCTCCAGCCCCGAGTTCCGTTGGTCGACCTCGAGCCCAATCTTCTCAACTGCAGACTGCCCGCTCCTAGCAGGGAGACCAAGTTATCGTGCCGGAAACGAGGCACCGGGCGTGACGTCACCGGTGCTGAGGTGCCCGGCCTCCCAGAAGGCACCGCGTCCTTGCCGTCTTCCCTAACTGACAGCTCAGCGCACCAATAGTCTCCAGCAGCTTGTGAGGACACTCCCAAGGGCGAGGGGAGGGCTCGGTTTCTCGCGCCTAGTTTCCTGGTCTGTGCTTGTGCCTGGGTCTCTGGGCTGCCCTCAGCGAGCGCCCAGGGATAGCAGAGCCTCCGAAAGGTGAGGTGCTCCGCGGGGGCGGGAACCAAGCTTGAGGCGGCCTCTGGGGCCCCTCCGGGGAGCGGAGCGTGGTCCGTTGTTGGAGAAGCCTGGCCGGATAGGGAGCCGGGAGCGGTCCCCAGGCAACGCCCAGGCCGGGCTTTTCGCTAAAGGTGGCCCTTGACTTATGAGAGAGGTTCTAGTCTTGGCCAGGACCGGTGGCCCTACTGGGATATCCCCCGTGGATTTCAACATGGCTTTCTCAGCGTAAAGCAGCCAGTAGGCCATATGTGGACACCTCATGCCGTCTTGAATTTGCTCCTTGAGGTATCAGCTGCCCCTCGAAGGGCATCCGAGAGATCTGCAGTCAGATTCGGTGGCAAAGCTGACTGACTTCTATGCAGATTCGCTCGTTGTTGGCCGCCATATTTCCTGTCTCCTGGTCCATTGCTCTACCAGCATGAGTTACGCAGCTCTTCCCAGTGGAGTCTGCACTTTGCATTTCTTAGGAGAATGGCCCTTGGTCTTCTGCCGGTTGCCTTTGCTCCCTTTCATTTGGTACTTTCTATTCGGACATCCTCTGGCTTTCATTCTCAGAATCTGCCTTTCAGGCCTTGCTGAGAGTATCCATTTTCAGTTATGAGTTCTCTACCCCAGCTTATCTTTCCTTTCGGACTTAGATCTCATGTGGTCTCACTACCCAAGCCACATATTGGAGTGTAGGTATGCCGTCCCTGATCTTGTGGGTAACCCATGATTTCTCTTGTCTGCAACTTTCAGGCAAATTTCCTGCAGTAAGAGGTGGCTTTTGAAGCTCTACAGAAAGGAGTGTGGTGTGTGATTTCAAGGCACGATGGCTGCAAAAGTGTTTCCTATGTCTCCAAAGCCAAAGCAGTCCTTTATATTGAGAGTTCCTCCAAACTCCAAGCTAGGCCAAGACCTACTTCGAGATGCTACTAGTGGGCCCAAGACCATCCACCAGTTGGTTCTGGAGCACTTCCTCACCTTCTTGCCCAAGCCGGGACTACCCCAGCCCAGTCAGAAAGTCAAAGAGACCTTGGTTATCATGAAAGATGTGAGCTCAGACTTTCAGAACAGAGGTAAGAACACGTTTCTGTCTCACTGGAAGAGAATGGGATGGTACTCAAGGGCTGAGAAAGGTTTCCATGCTAGTAACAAATCCCAGTTAGGATGGTGAGAAAAGGAGTTGGATTATAATAAGTCAACATGTTGGGGGGAGGGAGTATTTTTCTGTCAAACTGGAGTTTGAGTGGTTTGATGAGTGTTGGTAAGGCCATAGAATAAACAGTGTGCATCTTTTCTGTAGTGTCAATTTTCAACAAACATTCGGGGTAGTGGTGTAGGAGATATCTTTTTAGGATAAATAAGTGTGGATGAATTATTGAATTGATTTCAGTTTATGTGGTGTTTTGGAAATTTTGTGCTTGCTCTGGGGATCTTCAGACTTTACCTTCCCCAAACCTC